AAATATCACCGCGTAAGTGTACTGTTGCTTATCAATGCTTATTATACCTACGTTATTGAAGTCGAAAGATTCCCACCCTACTGTATCCTTTTGAGACTACAACACTTCTGAACATCTTCATCGACGAATGCCTGCGAACATAAATATATGCCGAAGGAGATGAAACTTTCAGTAGCCTCTTAGTATTTTTCCTCGAAAATGGAACCATCCAGTTCTCTTATCTTTCCATCTCACTCTCTGAGCCTGTTGTATCAAATGTAATAAAATATTTGCCGCTACAGCACAACGGCTTTTCCATACAACGCGATATCTTCAGAGGATCGGCTTGAAACATGGTTTGGCTGAGGAGCACGATAGGCGCTGGGATTCGTTAGCAATGAAAATAAAGGTTTTACGACCTGTTTAGAAATGTGATGTGTTTATCTAATATTTAGAAAATTCTTATTTGAAGAACACGATTCGCCTTTTCGCCGAGGGCTTGCGTCGAAAAGGATTCCAGCCTCAGTTTTCCTTCAGCCGATTATTGTACATGCGAAGCAATCCACTTTGTAGTGATAGAATTTCTAAATTAGAAATCCGATTATGCCAACACGTGCTGCAAAACTAAATTTCTACGAATTTGAAACGTTGAACCATGTGGGTCATACCATATGATGATATGATATGTTGAATAGTTCATTTAATGGCAACGCACGTAATGATGCAAAAGATATCAGTTTTCGCGTCAATTACTCCATAACATTTAGAGCACGGGGTAAATATGGTTGTCTGTAATAACTGAAAATTCTTCATTTAACACAAACCTTCTACGCATTGAGAGGTAGGTAGAGGAAAACAAGACGTAAGGCTTTCACAAAGACATAATCAACCCAACTTGTGATCCATTTAGAATAGCCATTTTGCTTCTAATTCAAAACGCATTTTGACTTCAACTGTGTCGTTCATCCTCAAATTATGTATGGGTTTTTGAGAATTATTAGACCCCCCCCCCCCCTTCCTCCGCAATTCTAGGGTGGATTTTTTTTCTACTTTCGGTACTGGTAGTATTTTTTGTTATGAAATCAAATTTAAAAAGTCTTAAAGGGAGCACACGGTCTCACTCACTTTGAATCACATTTTGTTGATCAAGACTTTTTAAATTTGATAGGGGAATTTACGTATTCTCGGCAACCTAAGCAGCGACCTTCTTTCTATAGCCTTTTTCTCTAAGGAACGCACACATATGCAGCATTGGTTTGTTTACAATCTTTTGCTGCCAGCTGCTCTAACAATTTCAGTCGAAAGAATTGTCAAAAACTGTTTTCAAACGCTTTTACAAAGCTCCAATCTTCTCTAGTGAGAGCGAGTATTGTCGGCAACCAGTTTTTCTTCGGCAACCGTTCCATTTGAACTGCATGTAAATCTGCTGTTCTATTATCGGCAACTCAAAATCAGCTACAATTTGTAGTGCGTGTGTTTCATTTCAAGAAAAAGATAGCTTTTTCTCAGTGGTAAAAATATAGTCAAATTGAAGCTGAAAGCATAAAGAATCGTTTGCAGGCATTTAGCGAAGTGTTTTCGTAAGAAAATCCAGTGAAAATAGTGTTTCAATTTGGGTTGCCGAAAATAGTCTGTTTTGCCGAAGCCGTCATTTCCCCTATTAAAACAAAAATACTGCCAGCACCGAAAATACCGAAAAACCATCCTACTCCTTTCATTGTAAGACACTGTTGGATTTTCAGTTAACTTCCCTTCCCACCTTCACCTTAAAATCTTAGTAAGATTTTGAAATTTGAAGACCCCATCGAAAGCTCTCAATTAATAGCTGTGGAAGTGTATCTAGAACACTAAGTTGAGAGCACGCAATAAGCTAATATGCAATCAGCAATTAGCTTGAAATGCGAAGAAGAAAAAGAAGTTGTTTCCTGCCGGGATAGCCTCGATCGCGCGTGATCTATTTTGCGGTTTTATTTAGAACATAAGAAAAGCGATACTGTCAGTAATGTGTGCAACCGAGTGCAAGAACATAGTTCAGTCTATTGTAGAAAATCGTAACAGTTTGGGATACATTATTGACTGCTTGCGAGCATGCTTGGCATGCACAGTTGTACACACCAACTGCTCATTTGTTAATAACTTTTCACTCAGTTGTTGAAATTTAGTTTTCTTTAAAGTAATTGATGGATTAGGATCATAGTTTAAGTAGACATGCAAAGATCAGGTAAATCTTATCATTTGAATCAACACCAATGAATTTTTACACCTAAAGTCCGAGATGTGCAGCGAATATTTCTCACTTCATTTTTGCAACGCAAAATCAAAGACAGTTTATTACTAGAATTAAAATCTTTTTTTTTTACATATCTATAAGAAGCTTAAACTCTATTGTATCGAATGCTTCAAACAGAACTATGTTTCGTCAACTCTGTGCAAAGTTATTAGCAAATGAGCAGTTTGCGAACAAAACTATGTATGCCAAGCATGCTTGCGAGAAAGTAATTTCTTTTAAATAGCATATTTAATCAGGGCTTGAACAATCGTCATGTCGGTCATAGCTTGTTTTGAGAGCCTGAACAATGCGTAAAGAGCAAATCGAAACATTGAACGTCGCGCGAAAGTGAAACCTTATGAAGGCCTAAGTGCTTGCTTGGCAGATTTGCTTGCTTGCTAAGAGGAAAAACGCGGTCCCAGGACCATTAATATTAAAGAGCTTTATGGTCAAATCGCTTGTTCGTCGTGTATTTTGCGAAACTTGTCATCGTCGTCGGTGCTGGGTTTGAATGGTTATAACAACTTGAGTAACGGTATGGTGTGATATGAGGGACTCGGTGGCCTTAGAGCGACCGTTTTTGCTTGTTCTGCTCATGAGTTGTATCTCAGGCCCATCCACATTCAAGATTCGTCAATCGTATCATTTGTTAATATGACTACATGGTAATAACAGCAACTCGATGATTAATAAGGAGCTCATTTGCCTAGTGGCAAACGGGTTTGCTTACTGAACAGAAGAACGTGGGATCGATCCAGAGCTCCTTCGCGTTGTATGATCGTTGAGACGTCAATTCAGCATATCGTTTACCAAAACGAACCCTGCTGCAAATCCAACACTCTTACCCAACATCCCAGTGATTCCTCGTGGAAGTGCAGCGGAGTCCCTGGCTTCCATCAAAGCGAGTGTCACGTCAACACATTCCTACCCATTCCTTCCTTGACCTGCGTTTGGGCGCGGCCGGCACTGGTATTGCCGAGTTTTAGATCACCAGTTTTTACAAATTGAGGATGAATTCTAGTCCCAAGCAACATCTATTGGTTCTCTGTGTAATTACAGCTGATCTGGCAATAACAGAGCAGCAACCGTGGGCGGTCAATCATGCTCATGCACAAAATTAGATCGCAAAAAGAACCACCGAACGATAAGATTCTTTTAATTTATTGTATTGACGTTTCGTAAGTTCGAGAGCTACAAGGTGTTTCAGAATGACAGAAACATGTTGTTGATCTTTTCTGTATTGCATATTTTCAAGAATGTTGAGGATTTCTCTCAACGCTTCCAAAACTCAACTAATAAAATTTCCACATAAGCCTAGAGCTTCCGTTTTGAAACCTAGTAGAAGTCACATAGTCACTATGAACGGAGTTCCAATTTTTTGGTCAAGTCAAGTGAAATATCTTGGATTAGTACTTTTTTTTAACTAGTTCGTTTATTTGGAAGGCTCAATCGCGTTAGCTTTACGGAGCCGATAGTTCATTGTTCTTTGTTTGTTATAAAATTAACAAAAAAGATAAGACAAACAAAAACCAATAAAGAGATTGGATTAGTACTTGACGAAAAATTAACTTTTAAAGATCACATTGAGGGCATTCAAACCAAACGTAACAAATCTATGAAATGTTTGTATCCTCTTATAAACCGGAAATCCAAACTTTGCCTGAAGAATAAACTCTTAATATTTAAACAAGTTTTAAAACCGGCCATGCGTTGTGCTTTATGCTGCTCTAACTTGGGGCTTTAGGCCGCTATAATCCTACAGTTGAGACGGCCCTGCCTTCAGTTCATCAAATCCAAACTTTTCAAGGTTAATATTGAGAAAATATTACATAAGCTTAAGTACCTCATTACTTCATCTACCCCCAGAGACGATTATGCTGAAATTCTAATACACGCTTGTAATTTCGAGTGAAACCTAGTCAACCAAACTAGCCACTCTCACGCTTTCCTAGCCCTTAAGGGATTTGACGAGTGTCCATAATCCATTATTATGCATTGCCTAATGAGTTACTTATACTAGAGTTCAATTGAAGCAAACGTTAAATTATGATGTCATAACCTTGAATCTCCATAGAATCAGCCAATGTTGACGATTGACAGAGGGAAGTTATAGTTATTTAAGTTAGTTAAGATCAGTTATAGTTTGATATTATTAAGCTTATTTTCAAAGCTTTCATGGGAAGTTTCTAAATGAAGTTTACCCGTCGCTACGCACCTCTAACTAAACAAGCGATCAGGGTGTAAAACATGAGTAGCTACGCACCCGGATACAGTGTTCTGCTAATTCAACGTTTTTAGAAGATATAGGGAGCAAATTAGCCTTTCAAAGGTACAATTTCATAATAGCCCCTTTAAACATAAACGCATTGAAGAGCGTTAGGTTCAATTAAATAACACTAAAAGCTTTCCTTAACTTGATATTAAAGAGACCATGGAGTAAAGGATGGGGTCAAATTCAGTAGAATATTTTAATTCCATCGAACGAAGTACAATATCGATAACATTTAATACAGGAGAATTTACTGTATATTGTGATAATTTATAACAAATATTTCCACTTGACTCATGTTTTTGAATATCAGTGACCAAACCCACTGAACCACCTAAAACTGATTTATTCAACCGAACCGAACAACATCCCCCAAAATGGGTTTCTCTCTGGTTTCCACCTTGTTCGTTTCTTCGTATCAATCTTCCTCGCCCGTAATGTTATTCACAAAACAACATTCACGCCATAAAATAATGATCATACATTTTCCTCGGCTCGAATCCTCCTCTCGTTTATATTATAGGGCTCACCAAACTTGCGAACACTTGTGTGCCACCAATCTTTATTATTTTTTTTTCCCTCTACAGCTTCTGCAGCTAAATTCAAACGCGAGGTTGATGTTGGCCTTAAAACACGACTCTCACGGGCGCGCACACAAACACACACACATACACATATACACACTAGCAAACAAACACGCGAATTTTCCACAGCCTACTGGTCCGCTTCCGTGCGAGAGCCTAGTGGCAAAAATCACGTCACTCGCTTTCTTTCCTCCTCTTCGGCCTCACAGCACAGCAGCAGCAGCCTGCTTCGGTTTTCGCCCAACCACTGCTGCTGACTCTTAATTTGCCAACTTGGATTCGAATCAGATCTTCCGGATCTTCGCTTATTAGGCTCACTTTTCTTCTTATTTTTTTTCCTTCGACGTTTGAAAACACGGATTGGGGTGGGGATCAAGCTCAACTCGCCTCACTGCAGTGGTGCACAACAGAGGAATTGAGGAACTTCTATAGCCTCTTCCTTTGCCCTCCCGTCTCCGGTGCACTATTATTCTCCCCTTTGTACACTCTGTTGGAATTTTTCCCGACACTGGTTCCTGGTTGTGGCCCGGAGCAATCACAATACTTCACGTTTTTTCAAGGGTGGTGGTTTTCCAGCAAACAATGTTGGAAAAAAGGAAAGAACGCAAGGCAGGTTAAGAACGAGGTCGCAGTCCTTCAGGATGTAGCAAAACAGGAATCCTTTGTTGTGTGCACTTCACTCACGAAACGACCGGATTTCACGGTCACACCGAAAAGGAACCTCCCACACTCGCACGCCCGACGGATTCACACGGAACGGGTTCCCAGCAGTCTGACTCTGAGGATGGCTGGTTGGTTGGTTGGTTCGTTGGTTGGCTGGCTGACGTGAAGCGAACCTCTACTCCGGGAGAATGCAATGAGTCAATTGGCATACTCTCGTGTCGTCAGTCAGGGCTCGGCCGTATCCTGGCCAGTCAGAGTGTCAAAATCGGGTTCCGGAACCGACCATCAGAGGTCCTTATGCGATGAAAGGACCCGCGCAAGCGCCCTTTGGCACACAATTCTGACAGGACACCCGTCCCAACTGTCAGCTGCTTTTACGTCACAAGGTTCCTCTATTTCTCTCCCAGGAGATCCCGTACGGCGCAGACTCCTGCAGCGAGGGAGAGCGAGCGAGAGTGTGTGGGTCTGTCAAAGCAAAGTGGCTGACAGCCACCGCCGCCGTATAGAAGCAGCGGGTACAAGGCAGAATGCGATAAACGTGAAACTAGGATAAGCACGGGAGGTCATACTGGAGTGGCCCTGGGAAAGCCGAATGCGATGCGGTCGGTCATTTCGCAGGTCATCAAATGGGTTGGGGTGCGGTAGTGCGGAGAAAGTTTTTTTTTTACGAGCTACGGATTTGATACGGATGGATGGATGGATGGAGAAGCTTGGTGTAATGTAATGAGCGTTGCGGTAGAAGGCACGGCAGGGGTGGGGGGAAGAGATCGGAACGTTACGATAGCAGTTTAATGATCCTACTTGAGATGCATTCGAAGTAGCCTGCTCGGAGATTTTATGCGGAATTGTTTTGAACTGAAGAAATGGCGAATAACCCCCATGCCTTTACGCGAAGGGATCTTAGTATAGGAAAGTTAGAACGATTGCATGATAATTCAAACAGTTATTTTTAGTATCTAGCTGTTTGGGTGTGGTTTTTGGAAAATAAGACCAATCTATCGAATCAGGACTAAACTTACAGGAGCAAATTGATTGGTTTTTAAACTAGTTAAGGGATGGTCCATTAATTAAGTCACGCAAATTTGGCCCATTTTCAACCCGACCCCCTCCCCCCTTTGTCACATTTTTTGTATGGACCTTAATTTTTTTTTTTGTATGGCTTTTCACAGTTTTCAAAACCCCCCTCCCCCCTAAATGTGTGACAAAATTAATGGACGACCCCTAATCCAAATCTGGAACTAAGAAAATTATACATTGATTTCTTGATTCTACGAGTTTTGAGATTGGCCTTTGGCTGATCGGAGTGTGATTGGGATTGGTGATGAAGGTTCTGGTCAGGAGATAAGGAAAATTATATGGAAGTATCGTTATTCATATTAGATTGTTGTTGAGCTTTAGACTTGGCAGCACAACGTTTGTGACAAGGATGTTACAAAACTGCCATTGGATCTATTGATTTAAATTATTTAAGTTTATCAGAAGTCTCCTTAATAAAGAAACAACAACAACTTATTTAACTGCCCATAATCGCATAACAGTCCCATATGGATAGGAAATCAGGCAAAGATGGGACTGATATGCGATTATGGGAAGTTAAGTTTATTTTCAGCTCCTCGATGATGGAAATTTTTTAGATTTATAATATGTGCCCATATTGTCGTTTTCAAAAATGGCGTTTATCTCCTTAATTGAGGCCTAAATCGCGATTTGAGGAGTGTTGGGGGTATGAAATCTTTAATCGCGTTTATTTCTTTAATTAAAGCCTACATTGCGATTTAAGGGGTGTTTGGGTGATCGAAATTTGTGATCGCGTATATCTCCCTAATTGTTATTTTTTCATCGAGTCGATGAAGGGTGGAGGTTTTTACGAGTGAATTTTCGAAATCTTAGAACAGTATTGTTTATACAAATAACGACGCAATATAGTTTTTAATATGTATAATACATTTTTAAGCAGTAAAATTGGAAGAGCGATTGATTTTATGCTTATGAAACATGGATAATTACAGATCATGGGGATGCGATCCTTTCCAGTTATTTGTTTGATTTTAACTCATCTTCTTCTTCTTATTCGCATTTCAAGCATATTGCTTAGTGCATATTAGCTTATTGCGTGCTCTCAACTTGGTGTTCTAAATGCACTTCCACAGTTTCGATGCCAATACCAATGCATGAATTTGTATATTGTGTGGCAAGCACAATGATAATGCCCAGCAAAGTCGAGAAAATTTCCAACCCAAAAGATTACCTCGATCGGACCGGGAATCGGCTTGATAATACCGTGCCTTTACTGACTAGGCTATGAGGCCCCCTTGAATCTCGAAACTCAATCTTTACCAAATAACGTCTTGAAAAATTAATTGAGGAGCTCAGCTAGCATGCTGACAACGAAGGCACTTCATATTTTTTTAAACCGTGATCAAAGTGCACATTTGCCATGATATTTCTGCGCAAATTACCTTCAATAGCAAAACTTCACGGAAAAAATGGTAAAGATGAAAGTATATTCAACAAAATGGCTCAAATGTTAAAAAATAACCAATGATCTTTATTCTTTGCAATTTTTTTATCTATTACACATCCATTTTACAGTCATCCCACAATTATGGGCCAGCTAATAATAATTATGTTTTCGTCAGCTCACCATACAAGTCAACTGGAAGTGATCTTCAAATGTGGAGCGATTATAAGAAATATATCAAGTAGGGGAAATGGCTCTAATGTTGGCCTATGGATCTAAGGTTGGGCCCATTGCTAAAAATCTGCTATTTATCAATTTTATCTAGATGATCGCGTCATTGGGACGGTACTAATGGATATTTTTGGTCGCTATTGAAAATTTAGTCGATGGCTGAAATTATGTATGGGCCCAAATTGGAGGTATTTAGGCCGACATTACATCCATTTCCCCTATCAACTTAATGATTTCTTAAGAAATTTCGGTCAAATTACCCAATTAGCTCAATAGCGTTCGTTCATAAAAATCCCATGACACAATTGCCCATTAGGTTCTCGGGCTTTGCAAACATAAGAGGCAAGCTTAGTAAAGTGAGGCAAATTTGATTTTCTTAGTACCTATCTCGATAGTATCATTTACTATTGCATAACCAATATTTGTAAGGTCACTAGGCCGAACGCTATTAATCTGAATGGGGATATTTTAAACCGAATTGTAAAGATTGAGAGATCTAATTAAGACATTGTTTAAAAAATCTATTACTTGATACAAATGAGAGCTAAGGAAATTTGATGAAGACCTCGGAGTAGGAAAATGTTTGAACATTCCGTAGTCAAAACTAACAGAGATCTTAAAAAAATTCTAAAGCTGTGAGATTTGTTAGGAGCATTAGACTGGGTTTTTTTTTCTGTATTTGTTAAATATTTATGAAAACAGTAAAGCCTTAGATTTAAAGAACAAAAAGAATTGGATTTTTTTTAAATATGGGATTAAGAAAAATACTTAAAATGTGGAATATTAACAGAACAGATTAAAAAAACAGATTGGTCCTGTTTTCAAGGCTCTGCAAATTGGAAGAAGGTTCAGAGCTCCAGAAACAAAAAAAAACATCATAAAATTCTTAGGATAATACCTAAGAATTTTTTAGGAGAATTTAAAAGGCATATATGTTAATACAAGGAAAATGCTGATTTGCAGTCGATTTATGTGTTTCTGCAAATGTCTAGTATAAGAATTTAATTCGTTTGTCTTTTGTATCGCTTTATTAGTTTTTGTTTGTCTTGTCCCCCGTCTCGATGAGTCTCATCGTCGCCACAGCCGGTCGAACACCAGACGAATCTAGAACCACACTACCGTTCATACTGGCGACATCGCTCTGATAAGACAACGAAACCCTACCCCCAAGCTCCTCCCTTTTTCCTATCCTTCGGTAATGTACCTCTCTAACATCGGGTAAGCCGCGAGTATTCGGCCCAAGACATAGAATGAAGGCCAGTGTTACAGTACTCCGGTAGCGGTAGAGCCAAAACTGCAAAACTACCAAAGCGGACAAAATCACAAACACTTACAGGCATGTGCACCAACAAAAGTTAACAGGGTTGAATCTCATTTTGACTTATGATTTATTCATCCCTTCATAACGCCCACATTCCTCCTTCCTAGCTCCTGGCTCTTCTTGTTCCTTATTGCTCTTTCGCTCCTATCCACTACTCACTAAACAGCCATAGATCTTCTTCTCTTCGGCGTCGCAAGAGCGTCCGCCCATCACGTAAACAGGAACGTTCTCACAGTATATTTCTCCTCTTCATCGTCGATGTTGCCACCGAAAGGTTTACTGCACGGCCTCGCAGCTCCGGTGTACCTCGTCGACGTACGGATGTCACGACGCACCGTGTTGCAGTCGACGTCTGACCGGCGATTCGCCGAACGTACACGAACACCCGTCGTTCCGCACTTCCGCTTACGACCGTCGACTTGGCGATCGCTGACCGTGCTACTGGCAACTCGCCGAACGTCCCAAACACTTGACGTCTCACGGATCTCCGTTGCTTAGGCAACACGCCGAACGTAGGATGGTTTGCCGTTACACGGACCTCCGTTTCTGGCGTCGGAAGCTTCCGTCTTCGGCCGCCGTCCTGCCAGAATTCGTCGAATGAATTGCGACCACTTGCGTAGGCGACTCAGCAATAGGAGAACAATGAATTATAGGCTCCATAAAGCTAACGCGATTGAGCCTTAAAAATAAACGAACTAGATAAAAAGAAAAAATGCTCAGCAGAATAACTACAAAATTCTGATAAACATCCTAAGGGAGTTCTAACCAGAAGTAAAAAATAATTCTGAAATAATGTCCTAAGGAAGTCTGAGATGCATTCCATGGAATTTATGGGGAGAAGGATGAAATTTCTGAATTGAAATCCTAGATAATTCTAAAAATAATTCCCTGGATGTTGTGAGAAGAACATCGAGGAGAATTCGAATAAGATTCTGAGTTGAATTGTATGGGGATAATTTGGAGACTAGCAAGTGAATTTTAAAAATAATTCCAAGAGAATTTTAGAGATAATCCAAAGATAATTATTAACAGAATTTATAGGGTGTTCTGAGGTTAATTGGATCGTGGATTCCTGAAGAAAGTTTTCTAGTCTAGCTTATTTTACAATACTGGAATTCCCGAGGAAAGTTTTCGTTAGTATTTTGAGAATGTTTTCAAAGGAATTTAATTCTCAGCATAATACTAAAAGAAACCTATGGAGATTGTTAAGGGAGTTTTATGGGAATTTCGAAGAGAAGAGTTCTAATGGTATTTTCTGGTGAGTTTTTGGGAGAATATCATGATTATTCTAATCAGATAATTATATAGGAAAACAAATGCATTTGGAAAAGTAACACATAAGTTGATAAATTTGAAATCTGCATTACTCAGAGATCATGGAAATTTAAAAAAAAAATCCACAAACTATATAAACTTGTTCATTTATAAAAAATAAAAAATACAATTGATGATATATTAGGTTTTATTGATTTTTCCCGGTTGTCCCGTAGAATTCCCGGGTTTTTCCCGATTTTCCCAGTTACTTTTAAAATTTTCGGTTATTTTCCGGATTTCCCGGTTTTCCCAGTTCGCTGGCCACCCTGTGTCTCCCAGAATCTCTTCACTCATGCCAGGGCAAATAAAAAAAAAAACATTTTAAATCTAATATAAATAGCTGCTTAGATGCTAAAAGATAGCTGAACGAGTATTGATTCTACCAAGCAGATAACCGCTAATAGACTCGGAACTGACAGCAGCAGTAGAACGAAACAGGCGAGAAACTGAAAGGATATGAAAAACGTTCTCATCGACTGAACGATAAGATCCTAAATCAGTGAGTGAGTCGACTTTGGCTCAGATTCCA